ACATCCCAGCACTCCCCATCACCCCAGGCACTGTCACCCCCTGTCAGACCCCATCACCCCCCCGTGCCTTGACTCACTCCGTGACACCGTCACCTTGTGTCCTGTGTGTCACTGCCTGTCCCCACCAGGACGCCCAGGAGGTGACCCACAGCCTCTGTGCCTGCCCATCCCACCCCCAGCTGCTGGTGACACCATCCCATGGGGGGGATGTGACACTGCAGGTGCCACCATTTGCCTGAGGCCCTCCCTGGGGGGGGCCGAGAATAGCTGAGATCCGTGTCCTGTAACGGGGTGTGTCCCAGGGGAGGTGACACGAGAGCCACCAAGCCGTGTCACCGCTGCAACGGTCAGTGCTGGAGGGAGACACAACCCCACAGCAGCCATCAGAGACCCCACAACACTCTTTAATTCGGGGCTGGCTTTTCTCCCTTGTCCCGCCCCGGGCAGGAGCTGGCGGGGCTTCAGGGCCCGTCCTTGTCCATGCCGGGGTTGTGCAGGATGTAGTGGCAGATCCCGGGCAGGCGCTGGTGGCCCATCAGCTCCTGCAGCTGCTGCATGGGCCCGTTGTGCAGCGCCGTGTGCCCGTAAGTGGGGAACCCCCGGGCCTGCGCCCGCCGCGCCGCCACCGTCAGTGCCACCTGCATGTGGCCGCGCCGGCGGTGCGCGGGCAGCGTGAAGCCGTGGGCGCCCGTCCCGAAATGGTCGGTCAGCACCCAGCTGAGGGGCTCCCCGGCGCCGTCCTGCACGCACACGTGGGGGAAGCGCCCCAAAAGCTCGGCCAGGTAGCGCCGGCTGCGGGCGTTGCCCCCGTAGGGCCACGTCTGGTTCAGCAGGTCCACGTGCGAGGGGAGCAGGGAGCCCAGCCGCACGCCGGGGTCCAGCCTGGGGGAGCTGGGGGTTAGTGGGGGGGGAGCTCGGGGGTGCCTGTGCGGGGTTGGGGTGTGGGGGGGTCTCACCGGGGCTCGGGCATGGTGCTGGGGTCGGGGTGCACGTAGGTGTAGTACTCGGTGATGTCCAGCTCCACGCCTTTGGCCCTCGCCAGGTCCTGTGACACCGTGGTCACCCCGTCCTGTAGCCCTGGCCATGGTGATGTCAGGCAGTCCCGCTCCCCTGGCACCCCCATTTCTGCCTCCAGCCCCCTCTGTGTGAGCCCGGTGTCCTCGGTGTCCCCAGGGGATACCTGCAATCCCGGTCTCTATCCCCAGCACCCCAATCCCTGTCCCCAGTGTGCCTAGCACCCCCGAGTCCAACCACAGCCCCCCAGTACTCCCCAAATCCAACCACCATGCTCCCCAGTGCCGCCCAGCACCCCTAAGTCCAACCACAGTGCTCCTCAGACCCCCACATCCCACCACAATACTCCCCATTGTCCCCCAAGACTGTGTCCCCAGTGTGCCCAGCACCCCAATTGCTGCCCCCAGTGCCCCCCGGCGCTCCCCAATCCAATCATGATGCTCCTCGGCCCCCAACACCCCCAAGTCCAACCCCAGCGCTCCCCAGAGCACCCCAGGACCCTGCTCCCCGTGTACCCAGCACCCCAATTCCAGCCCCAGCAGCCTCCAGCGCCCCTAAATTCAGCCCCAATATCTTCCATTGATAGCACCCATCAACCCCCACCCCAGCACACCAAGCCGTGCCCCCAGTGCCCCCCCCAGTGCCCCCCAGCATCCCCCTGCCCCCAGGCCACCGATGATGATGAAGGCGGCGTCCCAGCGCTGGCAGCCGGGTGTCTCCAGCAGCGCCCGGTACGCCCCCAAATCCCGGTAGAACGCTGTCTGCGTGTTCCAGTAGCTGTCGTTCGCTGGCACCTGAGGGCACCCAGGGGCTCCCTGAGCACACCAGGGCACCGTGCCATCCCCCCCTTTCCCTGCAGTGCCCCATGTCCCCGCGGGCCACCTCTCCTCTGGGACGGGCCAGCACGGCGCCGAAATCGGGCCACTTGTCCACGAGCACCTCGGAGTCGCCCGGGTTCCCCCGGTTTATGTTCAGCACTGCCCCGTACACCTGGGGGAGAGCGGGGGTCAGGGGTGGGGGGCACATGTGTGGTCAAAGCTGGGCAGCACAGGGGCAGATGGGGGGGTCAGAGCTGGGGGGGGGTTATGGGGGCAGATGTGGGGCTGGAGCTGGGGGTTTATGGGGCAGATGTGGGCGGGGTCAAAGCTGGGGGGGTTGTGGGGGCAGATGTGGGGTTGGAACTGTGGGCAGGGTCAGAGCTGAGGGGAAGGGGGGCAGGTGCGGGGGGCAGGGTGACACAAGGGCTCCTGGTGACATGGGGGTCCCCATCACTGGGGTGTGACTTGGGGGTCCCTGGGCCTGGGGGGTGAGAGTGGGGAGGTGCCACGGGGGTCCCGCTCAGGCAAGAGACAGGGAGTCCCTGTCACCAGCAGGGCAAGGGACAGGGGTGACACTGGGGTCCCCATCACGTCGAGAGATGAGTGACACTGGGGTCCCAGTCACGGCACAGCACGGGGGTGACACTGGGGTCCCTGGTGCAGGGGTGGGGTGCCCATCACTGGCAGGGCAGCGTGGCATTGGGGTCCTCATCGTGGCACAGGGCAGGGATGGCACAGGGCAGGGGTGACAGCGGGATCCCGGTCACCGGCAGGGCGAGGGGCAGGCTCTTCTTCAGGATGCCCTCCAGGCGCTGCAGCTGGGCTGGGCTCGTCAGGATCTGCATGGTCCTGCCAAGAGACCCTTGATAGCAGAGGGACAGGACCCCCAGGCGTGGCCCCCAGCCCTGTCCCCTTCCCCAGCCCCGCGTGGTCCCCAACCCCTCCAGCACTCACCCTGCAACAGTCCTGGAGCTGTGGAGCGGGAGCCTGGAGACCGTGTGGTGGGTGGTGACAACAGCGGTTCCCAGGGCCACCACGAGCCGTCACGGGCCAGCGAGTGCCCCCTGCCTTGGGAGGCATCGGGCAGGGTCCATCCTGCTGGGCACTGGGCACAGGGCCAGCCCTGGGGCCGCCTGGGGACGGGTGCTCATCTGGGACATTCTGCCCCCCCGTGCCACCAGAGCCCCAGGGATCCTCGGTGCCACCACCTGCCCCACGGTCTCGGTGCCATGCAGATCCTGAGGTGCCCAGCCCAGCTGCGGCTTCTGGAGGAGACCCTGCGGAAGAGCCTGCCCACCACCCTGCCGGTGACAGGGACCCCAGGGACCCCCCTGTCCCCTCTGCCTTGCCAGTGACAGGGATCGCAGGGACCCCTCTGTCCCCTCCCCCCTCTTCTGCCAGTGATGGGGACCCTGGGAACCCCTCTGTCCCCTCTGCCCTGTTCTGCCGGTGACAAGGACTCCAGGGACCTCTCTGTCCCCTCTGCCCCATCCTGTGGGTAGCAGAGTTCCCAAGGACTCCTCTGTCCCCTCCCCTCCTTGCCAGGAGCCCCTCTGCCTCCCCCTCCACCTTTCTGGTCACAGGGACCCTGGGGACCCCTCTGCCTGCCCTGCTGGTGACAAGAACCTCGTGTCCTCTCTGCCCCCTCTCCCTTGCCCTGCCACTGACGGAGACCCCAGGGGACACCACAGCTCCCTCTGCCCTGCTGATGACCAAGACGCCGGGGACTCTGGGAGCTCCATTGTCCCCTCTCCCCTTCCCTGCCGGTGACAGGGACCTTGTCCTGCAGGTCCTGGGGACTGTGATGACGGTGGCCCGGGGGAACCCGGCCGCCCACGAGGTGCTGGTGGACTCCTGGCCCGATTTTGGCATCGTCCTGACCCGCCTGCGCCCAGAGGTGCTGCCCCGTGTGCCCCCGCCCTGGCAGCACCCCACACCCCGGGGGGCTGGGAGTTGGGGTGCCACCCTCAGCCCCCCTGTCCACTCTCCAGGAGCACAAGGACCCCAAGGATCACTACACCAACCAGCTGTCCGTGTTCTACCGGGACAAGGGGGCCCTGCGGGCACTTCTGGGGGGCACCGAGGCGGTGGTCCAGGCACGAGCCTTCCAGATACTGGGTAAGGATGGCCCTGGGAGGGACACGGGGACACCACCTGCTGTCCCCTGCCCGGCTGACAGGCTGTCCCAGGGCTGCAGGAGGGGCTGGATGAGGCCGTGCGGGAAGCGGCCGGTGCCAAGGGGCTGCACGTGGAGACGATCCGGTACCTGGGACTGATGAGCCCTGAGCCCCCCCGACCCCGTGGGCAGTGAGTGAGGGCACCCAGGGTGCAGGGACACCAGGGTCACCGGGGGGTGTGGGGTCACCGGGGGATGTGGGGGCACTGGAGTGCAAGGGGACACTGGGGACACGGGAGCACCAGGGACACAGGGGCATCGGGGGGGCAGTCACATCCCTGGGTGGCACAGGGGTCCCCAAGCACATTCCTGGGTGGCACAGGGGGTTTCTGGGTGACATGGGTGGTCCCTGAGCATGCTCCTGGGTGACACAGGGGTCCCTGAGCACATTCCTGGGTGGCACAAGGGTTCCCAATCCCATTCCCGTGCGGTACAGGAGTTCCCTGACCACATTCCTGGGTGACA